AAGACATAGTCCTTTCCCTCAGGAATTTAATATTCTTCAACATGAATTTTTTTTTTTTACTTTCCCATGACACTTTCAAAGAAATTATAAAGCACTTTTGAGTATCTTCAAAGCCTGGCACATAATAATTGCTCCACAAACATTAGCCATTATTGGAACACCAAAGTGAAGGCCTTTGTTCAGGAATGTGACTTTGCATATAATACTTTGATAGTTAGCTCAGGTTTAACCTGATAAGTTGTTCTCTGTATCTATAATTCATTATAACTCTTCTGTTAAGAATAGCCCTGAGTTGGCATGAAGTTATAAATTATATGTAAACAATACGATTCAAAAGTCAAAGTGGTTTATGGAGAGCAAAGAATCTAAAATCGTCTCTAGCAAGTTTCAGACTAAAAAGGAAGAACATCTTCTATATAGCACAGTGGTTAAGAGCATCAACTCTGGAACCAAATTGCCTGGGTTTGTATTCTGTCTCCACTATTCAGTAGTAATGTGACCCTGAGCAAGTTATTTAACCTCTCTGTTCCCCAGAATCATCATCTGCCAAATAGCGATAATAATAATACCTATCTCAGAAATATGTTATAAATATACACGACCACACGTGCACACGCACACAGTCTCACACACATACAAGAGGTCACATATATGTAAAGTGATTAGACCCTACAAATGAAACATATAAAGGCTTAGAACAATGCCAGGCACAAAATAAGCACTACGGAAGTGTTTGCTGTTACTCATATTTAGTTTGTGTGCGTGTATCTTCTGGCAGAATTTTGTTTTTAGGGGAAAAGAAATCAGAAAAATTGTAATTTTTCCCTCCTCTTGAGCTCAGTATTCTACAGCATAGATTTGTGGTAAATCTGTGGGAATTGTCTCTAGGACCCCTTCTCCCCCAATTCCCCTAACCTCCCTAAGGGCACCAAAATCCACAGACGCTCAAGTCCCTTATATAAAATGATGTAGTATTTGCATAAAACTTACGCACATCTTCCCATATACTTTAAATTATATCTAGATTACTTATAATACCTAATACAGTGTAAATACTTGTTATACTGTATTGCTTAGGGAATAATGACAAGAAAAAAATCTGTACATGTTCAGTATGGACACAACCATCTTTTTTAAAAAAAAAAATTTTCAATCTGTGGTTGGTTGAATCCACAGATGTGGATGGAGCCCATGGAGGGCCTATTGTACTGTCTTAATCAAACTGCATAAGAAGGAAAGCCCCTCTCTCTACCCACTCTATGGCCTTTTTAAAAATATAGTTGGCATTTCATTTATAAACATAATTAGTACCTTTAAGACAATATAGCCTTTAATGATGTTCTAGAAAAAAGAGGTCCTGTTTGTACTTACAACAATTTCTGAAAGTGTACTTTCAAAGGATGTCATTGACTTTGTTATTGCCAAGTTCTGTGGTTTTTCTCTGTTTGTTGTTCCCTGGTCATCTTCTGCATTTGACATTATTAACTACTCTGTCCTTGAAGTCATCCCTTTCCTGGGCAGCCTGACTTAGCACTTTCCTCCCAGCCGTGGCTTCGCAGATTTCCCCGGCACTCCTTCTGTCACCCGCCGCTCCCTGGGCACGTCTGCCAGCACCAAGCCTCGCCTTCCCTCCTCTGGATGTTTCCTTGGAGGGTTCGCTGATCCCCAAGGCTTTCCCTTCCCTCTCTGAACTAAGGCCTCACATTTGATCTATTCTCCCAGGTCAGCTCTAGCCCCACAACCCCAAAAGCCTGCTAAAGTTTTCACTTGAATTCTTGAAAAACTTTTCCCCTCACAGCACCCCTGAGTATCAGTAATACCACACTGAGCCCAGCGCCTGGGCTTAGCATGTTGCTGCTACCTCTGACCCATCCCTCTACATCCCCTCCTAAAAGTTCATTTTGATTCTCTATGCAGCCTCACTGCTACCTGCCCTTCTAGGCCGGGACCTTGTCACTCTCACAACTACTTCCTAGGAGACATTGCCATGCAGGCCCTCTCATGCCTTTCAACAAACTGTTTGCCCATTCCAGAGCTTTCCTGTTTCTACCCACATTAAGTGCAGATGCTTCTCTGGGTGGCTTTCTAATATTTCCATAGTTTTCCTTTAAAGCCTGTAGGCCCGTATGTCGCGCTTGGGCCCACTTAGACTCTGCTCTGGGCAGGCCTCTTACCAGGATCCCCTGAACATACTTGGTATTCTCCACGTCGGCCCTTGCTGCTCTCCTGCTCTGAGCAACCACTGCCTTTACATTCTGCACGTGCTACTCCTTTGTGCCTGTCTGCATTTGTGCAGGATGCATCAGCGTTGTTTTCAGAGTGTATGAATACATAACCCTTTCTTTAAACATTTTTAAATTATATTCAAATGTAGCAGAGCATCTGGAACAGTAAAGAAAGAACTCATAAAACCACCGAATATTACCCCTGAAAGAGACCAAAGAGAGAATGTTCCACCCAATTCCCTTATACAAATGAGGAATCTGAATACCTGAGATAGATATTTTAAAAATTAATAGTTACATATTTAGATTTATGGTTATCTTCTATTCATGGAAAATGGTATCTAGTTGCTATTTACATTATTGGCATAGAGTTTTATTTTAGAATAAATTTGCTTTTGATTATAGATATTAATTTAGAGAGAAATGTTAAATAGAGGTAAGAAAATGTGGCAAAAATTGTGAGTGAAATACTCAAGTGATAGAGGTCTTGAAAATACTGTAATATAATATGATTAGAGTCTGCGCTTAATAAGTAAATGTTGACTGATAGTTCACATCAGTCAACCTAGAAAACGGCTGTTAGGCCCGTATCTTAAAAGCCCCTTATGACAAAATGAGCAAACATTAATTTTCACAGCTACATTTTTAGCATAAGGTCAAGGGAATACGAGATTAAAGCCAACTGGCAAAAATGATTTGGGGCTACTAGGAGGTTGTCTAGTTGCTGTGCTCGCTGGAGGTGGCGATGTAACTGCAGGCCAGTGCTCTCGTCGAGAGGCAGGGAGTAGGGACATCCTTCAACCACCCATTGCTCTTCCTAGGACTCTCTTTGCCACGCAAAGTTTAGCTGGATAAGCTGCAACACGTTTGAAATTGAATGAGTCTGAAAAAGGTTTAAATTTCCATATGCACAAAAACATTAAAAAAGAGAAAGGCCTTTGTATTTTACATGCCAATTCTCATGCATCCTCCCTTTCTTATTTTTGGGAGCTTTAACAACCACCCTCAGCAGCCCTACCTCATAGTGGTTTCCACCAGCAGGGTTCGCCTCCCTGACCAGGCTCGCTGAATTATAGGCCTCAGAGTAAACTCTCTGCGGGGGAACACAAATAGACTGCAGCTGGACGCCTGTTTATGGTGGGGCCCAAAAAGCCAAAATCTAAAATGTAAAGAACTTTGCATATAGGGAGACATGAAAAGAGGATCCACCGTGCAAGAGAATTCTGATGCAGACTACCCAGAGTTAAGCCAAATTTCACAGGTGAAGGGCACAGGCCCTACAAACTGCACCTACTTCAGACACCAGCTGTAAGTTTGGGGGCCTCCAGGCCACCTGCACTTCTGACCAACTGGATACAAATTCAGGAGTCCCCACAGCCCCTCAGTTTTGATAATTTGCTGGAACAACTCATAGAACTCAGGAAAGCGCTATACTTACAATTAAAGTTTTATTATTGGACCAGCCAAATAAAGAAAGAGACACATAGGGTTAGGTCTGGAAGAGTCCCCAGGCATGAAGCTTCTGTGTCCTCAGGACCCATTCCCCTCCTGGTACATCAGTGTGTATCCCCAATTAGGAAGCTTACCCAAGTCTTGGTGTCCAGAGTTTTTATCGGGGTTTCATTATGCAGGCATGATTGATTGAATCAGTATCAACATGATTGGACTCAGTCTGCAACCCCCCTTCCTCCCAGGAGGTGGGAGGGAGGTCAGGCTGATATCACATGGCTCAAAGCCCTAACCCTTTAATCACAGGCTGGCCTGGCAAGCCCCGACCCTGGAACTATCTTTGGGCCCACAGAGAGTCACCCCATCAGCATAAACCCAGATGTGGTCCCAGAGGCCCATCATGAATAACGAAAACATTTCTGTCACTTGAGAAATTTCAGGGGTTTGGGAGCTCCCTCTCAAGAACCCAAGACAAAGCCAGATAAAGTCTTTATTACACAACATATAGAAAATACAATAAGAATTGGACCTATTTTAAGTCATAGAAAACCAAGGCAAAAAAAAATTATGATTTTGTGGTGGAAGGATGAACAATTTGAATTTTTTTGCTGATTTTAAATACAATCTAAATGAACCTGAGTTCTGAGGTAATTGTTAGTTTTTGCTTGTGAAGAATGATGTTAATAGAACTTCCAAAGTATAAAATATTAGACATGAAGTCTAGATTTGTGAAGAATTTGGAGAAGTGGCGGATAAAAGAGAAATATATGTTATTTGTTTAACCAGAATGCTACCCACTGGAAAATGTCATTTGAATATGAAATAAATGGTCATTACACATAATAAGGGTCTTTTCATTTTTCACTCATTTATTCATTCCACAATATTTATTGAGTACCTCATATGCTAGTCACTGGACATATATTGTTACACTGTCAGTATAATAAAAAATATTTGTTGATTTACATTTCATAGAAAAGGGGAAGAATGAACTATTGGAAGCCATTTGCTGATTTAAATTGCAATCTAAATGAACTTGCGTTCTGAGATAATTGTTAGTTTTTGCTGGTCAAGAATGATGTTAAGAGAGCCCCAGAGTACGAAGTAGTAGGCAACAAGTCTAGATTTGTGAAGAATTCGGGGAAGTGAGTAATAATAGGAGAAATATATGTTGTTTATTTAACCAGGAGGCTGCCAGCTGGTCTTAATATTTTTAAGCAAAATCAAGAAGTGTTTTGAAATGTGATGTGTTATAAACTGTTCTTTTTTTTACTTTCCTGTAATTGGAGCAACATACTAATTTCTACAAGTTGTGACTACTAACAGACAGCAATCACCTCACAGACTTGTACCGAAGAGACGAGACCATCCAGGTGACGGGAAACGGCCACGTGCAGAGTCCTCGCTTCCCCAACAGCTATCCCAGGAACCTGCTCCTGACCTGGCGGCTCCGTTCCCAGGAGAAAACGAGGATACAGCTCGCGTTCGACAACCAGTTTGGATTAGAGGAAGCAGAAAATGATATCTGTAGGTAAGTGAAAAAACATCCACTTTAGAGTACTATTCCAAGATGGAAAACAAAAAAGACGAATTTAAACCATCACATCAAACATTCCTTTTGAGCCCTTTAGACCTACCTGAAATGCGTCACTTCTTTTTCAAAAAGCCTTGATGTCAACGCTAGTAGACAAAGTAGCGTAGACTGCTGCTGCCGAGGGCCTAATAACCTGGCACGACTCGCAGAAACTCACTTCCGCAACTGTCAGGACTGCAGGACTCCCAAAGAAAGGTGGAATTTGGCTGTCCTGGTCCTTGCGGGGCACAGAATAGCCTTTGTGAACAGGTAGATGCATTCAACAGCTGTTGTAACTAACGATTTTCCCCAGCACTGGGAGAAGATGGCTGGGGACTGTCAGGGCCTGACCCTGAATTCTTAGCTTTAAGGCCTCAGATATATGAAAGAAACACACCCAGAGTCCGTGTGCTCCTCAGATGGGTCTGTTTCTTGCACTTTCTAGGTCAGGAGTAGAAGATGAAAGCTATACCTGATAATCTTCTCCCTTCATAGCATATTTATCAAAGAAAGCCTGGGCTGTTGTTCTTTGAATTGTCTGCTCACAGTATTTTACTCACTTAATTAGCATGTGTAAGACTTGGCCGGTATTTTTTTTTCCTTTTTGTACTTTACTGCACACACTTGTTCTGCATTGCCAATGAACTACTGAACTGCTAAATCCTTTCAGCAGGTTTATTTTCCCTTGAATAATAAAAAGAGGTGCCTCAAATTTGGTTGTCCTTTGTTGCGTATTTATTATGCTGACAGCTTTTATTATGTTCCTATTTTTCTGAGAATAACAGCAGGGACTATTATTTTCTAGGACCACAGAGGGTAATGTATGCCAGAAAGCAGAGCCCAATACATGCAGGAAGAGCCAGTTAATATTTACAAAGAGAATAAAGTAATGCTGATCTTGCACCTTTTCAACCTTGAAAAAGAGAACTAATTTTCTGTGCTAAAAAAAAATTATGGAAAAAAAAGCACCTTTAAAAGATTATTAAAAGTGATACATGGAAGGTACCGTGATCTGTTTCTACCCACAGAACATTTCTGACACCAAATATGGGGGTTTCTTCCCCACAGCAACCAGTTCTCCAACATGTGCTGGTGTCCTTCAATTCAGTTCTGACACTACCTACCTGGAGTTAGTGTCAGGTCCCACAAGTTAAGGGCTTAGCCTCCAAGTTTGATGCCAGTTGCAGGTCCTAGGCTTCCCATCCCTCTGACTGACCAGCTATAAATCAGGGGGTTCCAAAACCCCCTCCTTGGATTTGATAATTTGTTAGAGCAGCTCACAACATTCAAGGACACACTTTACTTACGATTGCCACTTTATTAGAGAGGCTGCGACTCAGGAAGAAATGGAAGAGATGCATAGGCAGGGTATGTGGAAAGGGTGCCTTCTTTGGGTGCACCGCCTTGATGTGTTCACCAGCCCGGAAGCTCTCTGAACCCTCTAATTAGGGGCTTTTATGGAAGTTTTATTATGTAGGCATGATTGATTAAATTATTGGTGATTGATCTCAGTCTCCAGGCCCTCTCCCCTCCCCAGAGGTCCAGAGGGGGGGTCAAAAGTTCCAACCCTCTAATAATGTCTTGGCTGGGTCTTGCTGGTGACCAGCCCCCATTCTGAAGCTACCAAGGGTCACCTCATTAGCTAAACTCTGGTATGGTGGAAAGGGCTTATTATGAATGATAAAAGATGCTCCTACAGCACATCGCTTAGAAATTCCAAGAGTTTTAGGAGCCCTGTGCCAGGAACCAAGATCAAATACATATTTCTGATTATATCACAGTATCACAGAAGGGAAGCCAAGGCTCCACAACTGAGCTGGAGTTTTGACCCTGGCAGTGAACTCTTTTGGCATCCTGACCCTGAAAATAGGAGAGGAAGAGTTAGGATGCTTTCCCTTCTGGATCCTTCATCAAATCTAGTTGCTCCTCAGAATTTATGAAAGGAGGTAAAAGAATAAGAGGTAGAAAAGAAGAGAGGAGGAAGTGAGAGAAACAGGCTTCCTCAGAACCTGCCCTAGGAAATAAAATAGTGCTCTCTTAACTTCAGATTCAGAGTTAAAATTATACTGATGTTGTTTTTTTTTAAGCAAAAGTGACCTATTGTGTTATAACAAAGTTTCAAGTATACTCATACTTCGTGCAGTAAACGTGATTTACACACATTGTGTACAAAATGAAACACAATTGACTTCCTACCATCTGTTCCAAAGCCTCCTTGATGTTTACCTTATAATATTTTATTGCTTGAATGATTCTTTGTTAGTGCTTTTCACCTTCCAAGCACCATACAAACGTTAAGTAATTAATTTACACAGCACCCATGAGACATCCAGCTGGTAAAATTGAATGCCGCCTTATTTTTCCCATAAGGAAACTGAGGCAAAGGACATAATGGCCTCATAAATCACTGTCAAAGAAACGTAGTCACCATATCGTTATTTTTTACTTACTCCTTAGATTACCCTGCCAGTCCAGTAACAGCTCTGAGGTCCATGGGTAAGACCAGGAGAGCTATACTGGTTTTTCTTTATATTCAGACATGATGTTTCTTATGCTGATTCCTTCTGGTAATCATGACAGAGAAATATAATATGGCTGTGAGACTTCTGCCACTGTTCACCCTGAATGCCCATCATTTGTGTGTTAAAACTTTAGCATCTGACATCATTTTGGGAAAGGCAGAGTGGAGAAGTGAGATGCTGATGACCAGAACAGAGAGGCAGATAGTTCAGCTCATCAAGTAGAATGTTCCAAGATCTTAAGGGTCTGAAAATAGAGTAAGTGACCCCTAGAAGATGTGAACTCTGCCACTGAGGGTGTTGCACTATGTGATGAAATGATGGGATGCTAGGGAGGGTTGTCGAGAACCCAGTGGTCACGAGGAATAACGAAAGAGGCCTTGCTGTCTTCTTCAGTCCTGGGATTCTGTGTTTCTGTGACCAAAGCCAGAGGGGAGACTACGGTCTTAAGCTCATTCACATTCTGGTTTATTTAACCAGCACAGATTTTTCCATTATTGGTTAGCTTGCGTTTGTCCTTTCCCTTGTGATAAATTTTATATTTTATGATGTGATCCTTCCAAAAGAGTTTTCAAAAAGAGAATATAGCAAATCGTATCTGTATACATTTGTTTATTTTCTATAATGAAAATGCTGATTTCGTAAGCTATGTATTCTGTAAGGTATCGATCATTTACTTTCTAGAGAAAGCACTGAATGTGTTTTACATTAATTCAAAGTGGGAATTTGTTTGAAAAACTTTATACAGTTAATATTTGGCCATATAATTAGAGTTGTATCTCCTAAAATATGCCAAGAGATCATCGTTATTAGTTTTTCCAAGAAAACTTTCTAAGCCAGATGTTCAGAAAGTAGCCCATTTTGATTATTGATGACTTGGGAACAATTATGGCTAAATGTAAGGGTTCTCTCAGAATAGATTGGTAAAGTTTGAATTTGGAAAACTTAATCCAAAAATTAGCTTTCCTTTTAACATTTCCTTAGGCTATAATTTTCATTTCAGATGGTAGTCATGAGAAATCATATATAGTAGTTTCAATGTCTCAGTGAAAGTACGAATTTCAAAACTTACTGTAATCACAATGTGTTCATTATGTCAAATTGATTCTAGGTATGATTTTGTGGAAGTTGAAGATATATCTGAAACCAGTACCGTTATTAGAGGACGATGGTGTGGACACAAGGAAGTTCCTCCAAGGATAACATCAAGAACAAACCAAATTAAAATAACATTCAAGTCCGATGACTACTTTGTGGCTAAACCTGGATTCAAGATTTATTATTCTTTTGTGGTAAGTAGCTTAACCACCCTATGATTAAAAGCAGACACTGGTTTCATGCAGTATACAGATCATTTTCTATGATATAAATACAGTGGCGTGAGCGTGATGAACTTTATTAATTCCTTATGGCATGGTTTGTTCCTACCTTATGGTCAAAATATTAAAATCTTCATTAGTAAGAAATACCATTTGGGATCTATTAAGTCAAACTTTGGGCCCTAACTTTTGAAAGAGAGCATAGAAATAGAAAAAGGAAAATAGTTTATAGTAAAGCAGACAATAAGTTACCTTTGATTCAAATAAGCAAGGTAAATGTATAGCCAAATAGGAGGTATGCGAGAGTTGAACAGGCTTTGAGAATGAAAGCTAAAGAAAATAATTTCTCTTTTGGTTTGAAAATTTGTCGATAAATTTCATAGCAGGAAAGAGTCCTGATGATTTTAATTTAAATTATAACCCAGATTTGGGAATGGTGTATGTTATAATCATGCAGCCTCAGTGTTCGCAAGCATCTTCAAAACCATAAGGTCCAACTCAGGACTCAAGAGTGTGAATCCTGTTGGCTACTCCCACGCTCGTTTGTAGTCTCAGCTCTACTTAAACAGTTCAGCAGCCATTTCAAACTTTAAATGGTTCTGATTGTTAGACAATGTTCAACCTCATACTGAGCCAAAATCTACAATGTAGTTAATTTTAGTTGTTGGGTTACAGGCAAGCATGTATCTTCTTTACTCATTCATTCTTTAACAAAGCAATATGAAGTTCCTGCTCTTCGTCAGACACTCTGATAGATGCAGTAGTTACAAGGTAAATGAGACAGACAGGGTCCTTGAACCTCCTGCAGTTTATAGTCAGGTGGAGATGACAAACAGTTAAAAAGCAGTTAACCAAGAATGATAAGTAGTAAGACAGAAGAAAGGGTGCTCTAGCTTAAGTCCATGTAGACATTGGGATTACTTTGCCTAAGTAGTATCTTAAATACCCCTGAACCCTTCAACTGTTGATAGCGTAATTGCCTTTTGTTACTGGCAGCAGTTTTCACTCTCACCGGATTTGTCTCTGTCCCTTTTCCCAGTGTGGATGCCAAAATAAAACACAGTGCTGGCCAGG